ACATTTGCTTCATCAATCATTTAGAGGCGAGAGTCCCGCGTTTTCCCCTCCTCCTCGTTTTTAGCGCGCGGGATGGAAATCTGCATATCTGTCTTAAATTAGGTCGAGCCGTATGAATAAGTTGGGAAAACATAAATAATTGGCAACCTGTCGCGGGATGCTGTGTCTGCCCGGTCGGCCCTGACAGTTGTTAACTCTCTCTGAAACAGAACTTTGTAAGCTAACGTGCTGTCCAAAGAGCGTGCACTACAAAACAGAACTTTGAGTTGTTTCTTCTCTGCAGTGCGTGACTTGTTTGTTGCAAATTTGAGCTTTTGTGCGTAGCAAGTGTCGTCACCAGCACGACCGGAAGCAAAGTCTTTTGCGTCGCCACTCCCTTTGAAAGGGCGCAATATAGCAGGTGGCCAGCGCGCTTCGTCCACATTCATAATAAGAGTACCGCATATGGTGGTTGGTTTGCCTTTCTTCTCTGACCACGGAGCTCTTGACGGTCCGAGCGAGTGGGCGAACGGCCCCGCACGCCTGCTAGCATTCGGTATACAATCTATGCGCAAGGGATATTCCATAGACTATACGTCCGTCGTTTGCCATTACGAACCTTGCCAAGCTCAGTAGATGCAAGCTCCCTTAGCGCCTGGGAGCTAGGCAACATCTGGCATTGCGTGCATGCGTGTGCTGCGGGGTGGCCTACCCCGAGTCTCGCAGGCGCCGAGCCCGCCGAGCTCCCGTAATTCGCCGAATGAATCCGAGGAAAACACAGGCGTATTTCATGTGTGGGTTGCAGGCTAAACGAGCTTTAAGCCCCCTTAAGACCATCCCGTTGGGGTCGGATATACCAGACCAATTATGCAAATATTGACGCGCGAGGGGAGCTGCGTTAGTTGATTAACCTGATTTACCATCTTGACTCCTTCCCTCCCTCCCGGCCAACAATAGACACTGTTCACGAGACCACGCCCCCATCCTGTGTGCATAAATGTGTTGAGATACAATATTGTAACTTCCTAGTCACTAAATGTGAGTTGCTGGTTACAATATTGTATCTGAGCTAGTTATGCACACCAAAGTCCGGTGCTAGTTACAGAAATTTTCCTTAGACATTTGGAGTGCACATGACAAAATTTCAAAAATTGTAGGATAAACGATACATAGACGCAACTTAGAAACAAAAACAGGTTATAGTAAGATGCGTATAGCAAATGCTTGATATAAACAAGACTGTCCTTTTTCTGCCCTTGCAAACTGGGCAATATGATTGTAGCCATACTGGTGTAATAATCGTAGTCAAAACGACACCGCCGCGGGGCAAGCAAGGGAAACACACTACTGCGCGCGCGCCTTTTCCTATCCCCACCTGCTTGAACTAACTACCGTGAGAAAGTCGCCGCCGCGCCACCCGCCCGGCGCGGGCGCGCGCGCCTGTGTGTGTGTGTGTGTGTGTGTGTGTGTGTGTGTGTGTGTGTCTGCGCGCCTGCACCTGCACCGCACCAAGGCGGCAGTAATCATGTCATTTGCTTAAGACGGAGCCGCGGCTCCCCCACCCCGCCCCCGCGCCGCCCCC